GAACGGAGAGCGCAATTAAAAAAATGGCTACCCGAATTACGGTCTCCCGTGGCTGCGTCGAAATCAAGATTGGAATCAAGATATTAATTGTTCTTTTTACACGAGTCCGTCGGGACGTCGAGATAGAACGAAACAAACGTCTGTCCTCTCTCATACACTAATATCAATCTTTGCCCGTTGTAACGAAGCAGCATTTTAATTCGGACACACAAACGCTTCGTAAAAAATACAACAACAATATTGACACGGTATGCAAATAAGCGCTTTCGTGTTAAGGGGATCTTCTCCGTGGTACGTTTACAACGTCACGGAACTCTCGCATATTTGCCGCGATCGGGGCAATGCAATTATACATGCTCACCACCCCTTGGCGCAGTCGTCGTTGCTTTCTGAGACACATGCCGGGTTAAGGAGGAAAGGGCGAAACTGTACCGCCCCCGGGAGATACGCGAGGAGGTCGCGCGGCAACCCTCACATATTCTGTTAAGTACACTTTATTAAGCATGCTGTCTGTGCGTTGCTGCATCCACTTATGTGGTAAATGGAATTACAAACGCATCCCCAGCACCGCGGATCCTTGACTGCTACTGACACTCTCTGCACGCGTTAAATGGACGATCATGCAGTCGTTTAGACGTTTTTTCTTCACGTCGCTCTTTTATCAAGGTAAAAGTTTTTCATATAATGGAGTTACGGTCTAAAGACTCGTTTGTATTAGGAAGATTAGATTTATTATTCCTCACATTTTATCTTCTATCTACTGGACAGAAATTTGACTAAGCCATGGAATTAATCAACTGTTCATATCTATTTGATTTTAACTTTTTCGCATATTAGAAAATTCTGTTCGCTCATTAGATTTTCGTAGGAATTATAGTTTCAGTTGTTTTGGGAGCATATCATACTTTGATATCGATGGTAATTTCATAAGTTATAATAGGCAGAACTTTCTCATTTTCCTTTACAATTAAGAACACTTTCGTTAGAGTCGGTCTTTCCAAACCATCAATTCTCGGTCGGACCGCGAATTCTATCAGCGATTGGAAGTTAGTTCCGGGTCTAGTCCTAACGAACGCTAATTGGGAAGTGGGAAGAGAGAGGGCAGGACGGGGAGGATAGCCGGGAATGAAAATTCCGCGGCGTCGGTAGCTGAATTCGGCTCCGGTCGAGTGAATTACTCGAAAGCGGAGGACGTCGGGCGCGCGGATGCGTTTATCAAATTCTGCTCGGTATGCACAGCATCAAAGACACGGGCCGTTGATTTATTAAATTGCGGCAGCAGATGAAACCCCGACCGCATCCGCGGAAAGAGGAATCTGTTAGGTTTTACTCTACGAGGTGTTTTTCCTAGGTTACACACCCCTCTTTGCCAAACTTAAATTGTGCACAGAAATAGTGGAATTAATCAGGAAAATTTTCACTAATTATACATTTAATATTGGCCGATGTGTCGCTTCTGTACGTCTTAGAGCGGACGTCTGTATACAGGTCAACTGACCAGAACCACAGACTAGACGTCCATGTGCCAACCGTGATGTGCGTTTCCGAAAACGTTACCCAATTTCAGAAAATGTTAGCACTGTGAAATAGGTGACATTAACTATTAAATTTATGTATCCATTTGCAGTAGACGTCGTGATACAATTTCTGATATTCGAAGCAGGAAAGATTCCACTTTGAAATAACATTTGATATATCTCGTTTCGTATTCTAGTTTCGGAAATATAGTCGTTAAATGAAAATGAAATTTCCTGCCGTGCTATTTTGGTTCTACTCACAGAAATCCCATTCCCAACCACATTAAGAATCACGATAATTCAATTGTCCATAACGTGTGAATAAGTAATTATACATATTATAAACGAAAGACTCTTCTCTTTAAAATGCCGTTTGTTTCGTCCCGATCTGACTTCTGGTTCCGGAGATATCGTCGTATGAAGACGAGCGTGATTTTTTCGGCACAGCTATTGCTGTTCTTCTCGCACACTGTCCCAGTTACTGACCTGCTCAAATCCCCTCTATGCTCCGCTCGCGTCTAGACACCTCCAGACGCAGTTCCAGGAAATGCTCAACCCTTTGATTCTAGAAACGGTAGAAATATAGGTCAGGGGACTCCGAGCGTAGTGCCTAAAACTTTGAAAGCCCGTATCTCCGAAACGGATTCAGATATCGGGATGAATGAAAAACTATTTTTCTCTTATCGATTTCCTCTATTCAATTAGGAGAGTTTGATTCAAAACTTATACGTTATTTTATTGATTTTTATATAAATGAAAAGATGGAAGTATTCTTTGCATTCCGTCGAACTC